CAGTGCAAATTCAGGAAGAGGAACAAAGGTGTCATAAAGATTACTCTGCATTGCCTTTGTCCTGCTAGATATCAGACTAGTCCCCTGGCATAACAAGAAAGCCTGTAGGCTACTCTAACTGCAGTGGTTACCAGTCACTGTACAACATGGTTTTTACAACTATTATGTTTCATGCATTGTAATGATAATTTTTATTCCAGTTATAGAGAAAAAACTGTAAGTGTAAAGGCTCTCGCTTTTGGTACTACTCTTTTTATGTCCCTGTGATGATGGATGGAGCATGTGATCTTTAAGAAAATTCTGTGCTTTCAGTGTACATACTATGGGTTAGAGAATATTTGGGCCATAATGTGCAATAGACTAAAATTTGTGTATTTATACACCTGTACTTCTCTCCTTAGTTTAACTGGTTAAGTACTTCAGTGAATTAATCATTTCAAGGACTGTTGCAGGCATACAAAAGAAAAGAAATAGCAAAAAAAATACTCAAAGTCCCGTCTTCCTCAGCATCCTGAAACTGATGGAACTAAAGGGATGTGAGAACAAAATGTGGTCTTAAGCCCCTCTTTTCCTCCTTAAAAATACTCTAACATTTAGGAACTCATGGTATGTTTTATGCAACCCATTAGATTTACTGCACTTACTGAGGTATTAATACTACTGCCATATCTTCTAATCTTTGCAGTAGTGTTATATTTCCTGTTGTCACTAAAGGTGCCAACTGGGACCATTTTGGTCAGGTGTCTTCAGCACTTAGGAGTTACTGATTTTCGGAAAATCTGGTCAGTTATTTTGATACATTATGAGAACTGATGTCTCTTGAAAAATCTTTCCCATGGAACAAAATTTAATACTGAATTACAGGATTTTATCTCAGAACCCCCATACTTCTGCTGTAAATCCATTAATTTCACTGAGTTTATTCCATTGCACATTGTCAGTTCAAGAGTATATTTGGCCATGATGTGAGCGCAAAGCTGACTTGACCTTTGGGCTTACTGCTCGTTGCATGTGTACTTAGCCATGCTGAGAGTGCTTTCTCATCTGCTTTCCTCTGATTGTCTCTTAAGAGGACAAAAAGTACTGAAAGTAATTTTTGCTAGATAAACAGCAGAAATAAGATCAGAAATGCCCTCCCCTTCCCCCAGTCCAAAACGAAGGGATTGCTCAAATGTAGCCAATTGTTCAATTCTGAGCTAGGGAAAACTGTTATCAGATACAGAAGTAAAAGCTTTTAGAAGGGTAAACAAATCCCTGTGAGTAACTAAGACTTGCAGCTCAAAACCCAAGCTAATACCTGGAAAGTTGTCTGTTGAAATATATAAGAAAAACAGTACTTTAAATACATCTTTAAGGGTCTTAACGCACAACATTGGTGTTTAAATGCACAGGGTTAATAGCTTAAAACATGACTTTAACTTGACAGTCATGGTGGTAAGTGCAATTTAATGGGGTGCTAGTAGGTGGATACAGCTAAGTAGCATAAAGGATATGAAGGGAAGACTCCAAGGAGGGATGTGTGGTATAAATACTGAGCTTACTGTCCAGGAGTAACAAAAGGCTGAAATTTACTTTTTCTCAGCTTCAGGATTTATTATGAGAGCATGAATATTTACAAATATATTTCTGAATTCTTAAATCCTGGAATCATGTATATTCAACTGAAGATGGGCCTCATAAGTCACCTAGTCCATCACAGGATCATAGGCTAATTCAGGTTGGAATGAACCTCAAGAGGTCTCTTTTCCACCACCTGCTCAAAGCCTGCCCCAGACTGTGTTGCTGAGGGCTTTATCCAGTCTAGTCTGGAAAAAGGACTGGAATTACACAGTCTGAGCAATCTGTTTCCCTCTTTGACACTTCTCTTTGTGAAAAAGGTTTTATTTACATCCCCGTTGAACCTCACTTGTTTCTGTCTATGCTGGTTTTTTCCTGTCCTACCACCAAAAGAGCCTGCCTTTGTCTTAATAATCTCCTTAGGTTATTAGGTCCCCCTGAAGCCAGGCTAATGTTGCTCCGTGGAGTCTATTTTTCTAGTGCAGAGCCTGACTTGGCTTTACATATAGCAAGAACTTTATTGTTCACTGCTTTCCAACAGAATGCAACATATCAGTGTCAGGAGGTTATTACCAGCACTCCTCTCATACATTCCTTTCTTGAGTTCCTTCTTACTTTATTTAAAATGAACATAAACGCTATGATCATCCTGTTAAACAGATTGTTAGTGGAATGGATAAGTGATCCTGACCAGTAGTTCACAAAACTGTGCCTAAACAGATGATGGAGTATGGTGAGAATCAGAGCTGCCAAATCAAGGCAATTGAATGAAAGACTGAAATTCTGTCTCATTCTGATCTGGCAGCTTTACGCTGGCGAATCTCTCTTGACTTCCCCTGTGTTCCTGTTTCTGGTTTGAGAACTGAAAAAAGTCTTTTATATCCTACTCCCAATGTTGGGCAGTGTGTATGGAATAAAAAGGGATGAAAGATCCCCTGCATCATTTTATTGATGCATTCTGAATTATCTTAGTTTTCATTTAGTGCAAAGTTTTGTGAATATCCTTTGTAGACGCATTTTAATTGTGTTAAGTATTTTTAGGGAGGTATTAGGAAAAGAATAGAGTTTTATAAAAGGGGAAAAAAAAAAAAACAAACCCAACAGACTTGTAGAGTTTAGTAGATGATGCAGACAGATGATAGAACTAGTTTGAACATTTCCAGTGGTGGTAAATGATGTCTTGATGTCAGTTCTTTTGATTGTGCTTTTACACTACAGTTGACAATATGCTAGATCTGCTTTTTAAGCGATGAACTGTGGCCTTGATGTATCTGCACTTGTGTTACGTTCAAAGCAGACCTTTGTCTTGATAGCACAGGGAAAATTCTTTTTTGTGCAGTTTTTTTACAAAAAACAGGAAGAGTGTAAAAAACCAAAACCTCTTGTAAAAATTCCACTCTATACCAAAGAATTTTCCAGGTGTTTATCATCGAAGGGCGAGACTCTGAGCAAGGAACCTGAGAAGGTTATGAACCCCTGCGGAAGTGGTAACAGTGTACAAAGGACTCAGTTCTTGCATATCCTGTTTTATGCAGTCTTAGAAGAAACTACATTGTGTAGTATTTAAAGCAAAGGCAAAACACATTCTTAATGCATTTATTAAAAACAGCCACTTGAATATTTTTTAGTGATTATTTCATAGGCTGAATATAGGAACGTGGCTGAGCATCTCAAACAGCAGCTTTGTGAATGTTTATTAATGAAATCTTGGAGCGGTTTGTAATTGAATGTACCAAAGGCACGTGTACTCTAGTGAGCAGCTGTCTCTGGTGGTGAACAAATCTGATGAGGGGAAAAATTGTGTTAGAGAGAATGTTTACAATCCAAACTAAAATTTTTCACCAGCATCAAGAGAGCTTTATTGTAACCCAGAATTTTGTACAGCGGAGGAGTGACATTTAAAAATTTTTGAGTAACAAGCCTTTGAATGGCTGAGAAGGAGGGGGCAAAGAAAACAAATGTGAAATAGAAGATTGGAAAGAGCAGAGAAAATTATTTAAAGCACTGTGACATCCATGAAAGATTATAAAGACATCCTGAATGTACAATGGGGGGTATGCAAAAGGTGCTGGAAGGAACTTCCGCCAGACTTTCCTTTAATGCCTCTGCAGAATAACAATGAAGTAATTCTTTACAGAATGCCTCTTTCCTGAGTTCTTCAGCTGGCTCAGCCAAAGGTTGGTTCCCCCGAGCAGAAATGCCAAATATATCTCTGTTTGAATAAAATATGTTGAATGGGGGACAAAAGGCTTTGGACTGCCTTGCAGCATACCTGCTACTGGAGGCAGTGGTCAGTGTTTCAATCCTGTATTCTTTGTTACTAAGACAAGAAAAAAGGTGCATCTGTATTGTGTTAGTACCCATAACCACTGTGAGTTGCCTTTCATTCTTTAAAAATTAGAAGTTGTTAATAAAACAAAATCATTTGAAAAAATCTATATAGTATATAAATGCAGTCCCTGAATAATGTGGTAATTTTGACCTACACTGGAGTAGATTTTACTTTGTTCATTGCAGACCCAAGAGCAGAATTTTACCTTTAAGCTTTAAAAAAAACTAGCTAGACAGATGGAGTCTTCCAGTATAATTTATCCTGTAATTGCATAGTCATGATATAACATATAAACTAATACTGAAAAATATATTCCTTTACATTATTTAAATTTTTACTAGACTAGTGTGAAAGCATCATTGGGTACATCATTTGCTTTAGACAATTTGATTTCTTCTCATAGAAATCTAATACTTTTTCATTTTCCTTAATCATTTCTCGGAAAATAACTCGTGTCTTTACGCTTGTGGCTTATAGAGCAAGGCCAGCATATACATAGCTCCTCTGGGAGGAGGGCTCAAATGCCTGCCCTGTGTTCTGTAAGATTCCTTGTGCTCATTCTGCACTTGTTCTGCCAAACAGGCTGCTGCTTCATTTCTTCTGTGCAGCAAGTTTAAAATCTCATCATATTTATGGTTCTCATTTATCATCTTTTCTTCCAGGCCAGCCTCCTATTAGTGACTTCACTGCTTCTGCCAGTTCCTTAGGTGGAGATGGCTTAAGTGGGTGTAACCAAAATGAAAAATGTAGCTAAATTGGATGATTCAGGGTAGGATGAGATAATGTGGCAACTGGTACTATTTTAAGCGTTCTGTTTTGTTCCTCTGGCTCTGAATGTATCAGGCACTAAAGAAAATATAATGCTAATTGTGGTCCAGTTACTCTTATACGTAGTCAGATTGTAAATCAAAAGATCTGTATTATGGAGCTCTGAAATAAAGAAATACAGGCAAACTTACAGCTCAGAACTTCTCTCATATTAAATGTGTTGGAATGACGAAAACAAAGCTCCTCTCAGAAAAGACAGAAAGGAAAGAATGTGGTTGAATATGGTGTCTTTGAAGTGTTTCTGTTATGCCTTCTTACTGTGCTTCTGCTTTCTCTACCCCAGCTTTCTTTGGAAAGTACCTTAATGAATACAATGGCTCCTATGTGCCTCCTGGTTGGAAAGAATGGGTTGGATTACTTAAAAACTCTCGATTTTACAACTACACACTCTGTAGAAATGGAGTGAAGGAGAAGCATGGATATGACTACTCCAGGGTAGGTCCTTTGATTTATTTCTATTTTTTTAACATTTGGACGTGACTGCAAGAAAGCTGAGCTTTATGGTTTCAGCCTAATGAAAGAATTCCTTTTGTACTTGAAAGCTGCTAGGTGTAACCTCAACTACAACCCAATAGGCTTTGTGTTGGGGCTTTTCCTTATCTTCCATTCCAGGAGGGTCATGTTACTGAAAACAGTTACCAGCAATGGAAACAAACAACATCTCCGGAGGCAGTATTATGAGCTGAAGATGTGAAAATGGATTTAAATGCTGCGTGATAACTATTTCCGTGCTCTGTACATTATTGTGTGATGAATCTGTCATCTGTTAATGTTGGTATAAAACTGACTCCAGTGGAGTTACACAACCTTAAATTAGATAAGAATCCAGTTCCCTCTAGCTAGACCCATCTTTTTATGTTAGTTCAAGGAACTGGTTTCACAGCTATAATATGATGGAGAATTCATAATATCTTGGTATATCTTACAATAATTCTGAATGAGTGGAGAATTTTAACCATTACATTTCTATCTCCGTGCATTGTTGCAGGCACATATGTTTCCTAATGTCCTTGCAAGGATGTTATATCCTGGCCAGAATTACTAAAATGCTTGATAATCATTGTCAAATGCAGTATGATTTTTTTTTTCCTCATCTAGCACACGTTACAGCTCAGGTACCTGTTTGCAGTCAGGAGTATGTTTATTTCAGCCAAAAGTGTTACCTTTCCAAAGGAACCAGCTTTTGTGAATTCCTAAAATGGCCTGAATTATCTGTGAAGTATGATGATAAATAAATTTATCCATAAACTGCTGTAGTTTAAGTAGTGTATAACTTATGAAGTTGACTCACTCTGGAGTGATACTAATTTGTAAGGTGTATTTGCTTAACAGGGAGTCGGTTCACTTTCTCTTACTGAGCACAAATCCTGCCTTTATATTTGTGTTTCATTAACAATGTGTTCACAGGCAGTTTTTCCTTTAAAAGTCTGATGCCTGTGTGATTTCCCCCTTCCTCTCCCCTATTGGCCATTTTTAATTAAATTTACTTTGTGTTGAAAGATAAAAACTTAACAGGCTTCTAGGGTTTTGTTTTCTATCACCAGCTGCTAAGGGGAAGGGGCAACTGATTTACAGAATTATTTGTCTTTTATTTCCCTTCTGATCTGTGAAAAATGAGAGAGCTAATCTTTACAGCCATGTACCAAAAAGGTTATGGTGGAAATATTTCTTACATGGAACAAAGTCAGGCAAATGATTTCATAGAGCACTGTTCCCCATTGTACCAAGGAGCCAACAGGGAACATAATGTTCCAATATCCTCAGCTCTGTTTTGTGCATGCAATGCTTGAAAATGTTTAGGTTTTCACTTGGTTTAGTTTTTTATACTGAGTTTGGTAATAAATAAATACAGAAAGTCTGATGAAAAGATAAATGTTTTCATAATCTTCATATTCTTGCATAATACACAGCTATGGTAATAAACAGATGATAGTGTGCAGAGCAACGGCACTTGTTGATGTTAACACTGGAGTTCAAATGAACAAACAGAAGCTGAAATACAAGACTTCTTTTTATTTCCTGCCTTTTTTGTTGCTGGAAACATAATTTTTCAGCAATGAACAATATAATCAGATTCTTTTTTAGCCCTATCTACTTGACATATCTGATGTTAATTATGTGCCAGTGGAAAACTAGATGATTCTGTCCTTCAAAGTGACTGCTATGCACTTATTCTCTGAAAATCAAATCTTTGCACATTCTTTCAGATCTTCTAACAGGATATGTTCTACTTTGATTTTCCTTTTTCAGTTTCTGTCAACTTTTTAAGATGAATTTTTAGGTTTTTTATGCATTCACACAGTCTACTACCACCTCTACAATCTGGAGCTTTAAAAAAAAAAAAGATCTCAGTTAAGTGAAATGTTTCTGTTTGGTCTTTTGGTCTGGTAAACACTGTTTTTGCAATGTTAAATTTGAATGATTTTTACTTTGACCAGGTGAAAAACTTTCTCTTCAAATTGAAGTTTGAAAACTATGCTCTTGTAATGACTAAATCAAAGATGAGTTACAAGAAAGTGACCAACCAGCGTAAAGAACCAGGAACATTTTAGATAGATGTCAGTGCATTTTTAAGTGCGCTCTAGTATTCTCTCTCAGCTATGAGTATGGTCTCAGGTATTGGAAGTATGTTCACAAGTCAGTTTTGCTTTGGTCTGGCTTACTGTACATTCTGTCTTCCCCTGCATATGCTCGTGAATGGAGGTCCTTCAGTTAACTTTGATGGAATTATGCCTATTTACACCTGTTTTCATGACTGAAAATATCATAATAGTCAGAATTACGGCAGTTTCATAACAGACATGCCTCATATTGGGACCAGTGTGTAAAATGATGAATTGAAAATTTGCCAGCCTTGTTCTGGGATACACAGGAAATAACTTGGGGAAAGTAAATACAGTCAGTGAAAAAGTCTTCCTTCGATGAACGATAAGCTGACTTCTCAGATCAAGGACATCGGCAGCGCTAAAGAGCAGTGAGTGTCTGAGCCACGGACAGAAAGCTGTATTTAAAAGGAGATGCAATCCAGTATGTACCACACCTTGTACGTGTGCAGTTGACCAGAGGCAGATGTTATGTGTGATTGTACATTCAGCTATGACATGACAGTTACCGTTTTGGTTTTAAAACGTGCAGTTTTATATCCTATTCATGTTTGAGGGGCATTTATATTGGCAGCATTTCCTGTGATGCAGGCTAAGAGAGAACATGGCTTGTCATTAAAAATACTGTCTTCAATCCATCTTCAATCTGTTCCAGCAGATAACAGAAGAATGATAATGGTATTTCTTGGAAAACAGAAAGATAGTCCATGTCTTCCAAAAGAAGTTTTCAAAATTCTCAGCAGTTTATTTGATAGTGCTATATCTCTATCAGATTGTCACTGGATCTGCAACACTGAATGACATTTTTGGTCCAATTAGCCAAGCATCTTCTAGCTTTAGTGACTTCTGCTTCAGAGGAAGGTTAAGAAAGCATCAAGCCATTTGGATTTTCACAGCATTTCTATGGTGTAAGGTTGGACTGAACACCTTGAAGATACCAACATCCAAAAGCATATAAATTGTCCTGTAATTTTCTGGTTTTTTTAAATTAATACCTGGTCATTGTATTTAGTATTGTGACGTTCATAATGTAATTGTACACCCTGGGAAGGAATACTGCTATTTGATCTTCTTTAATGTCATTCATTTCTGAGAGGAAGCTGATGTTTTTCATATTTCTAGGAAGTGAAGAATGATCTCGTTTTAGTTTCTGAAGTTTCAACATATGTAACTTACTCCATCCTCCTCCCATTCTGAGTGAAGTAGCTTCTTTTTTCCTGTTTTTTTATGATACCTCAGACCTCCCTTTTCCATCTCAACCCCCAACTTGAAATTATTTTTTGAGTCTCTCATTCTACTTTTACTTCTACTTGCAGGATTATCTAACTGATCTGATTACCAATGACAGTATTACCTTCTTCAGAATCTCAAAGAAGATGTATCCTCACAGGCCTGTACTGATGGTTATAAGCCATGCTGCTCCTCACGGCCCTGAAGATTCAGCCCCTCAGTACTCACATCTCTTTCCTAATGCCTCACAACACATGTAAGGAAAAATAAAACACTTTCATTTCCAGGTTCAGGAGTACAGAAGTCCTGGGTACCTCTGGGGGAAACAGTGTTTGCTTTATAATACTCTTGGCATAAGTTTGTCACAAATATATAAGAAGAGTTTCGAGATTATTTTTTTTTTTTAACGTCTTCAGACTAGTACAAGTATCTTGAGAATGGCCACTGCATCTAGAACTCAGAGTTGTAGCTCACTGAGATAAATGGAAAAACTCATATTGAGTTCATTGGACACTGTTACAGCCTATTTGGAAAGTAAAGCACTGTTTTGAGCAGGGGGATCAAAATCTGGTTCTTGGGCTGTCATCTGTTCAGGGGAAGAAACTCCTATTTCCCTGTCCTTATGCATAAACCATATTCTTTTTTGGCTGTTACCACAAATCACATAGTGTGCAATACTTATTACTCCTGTTTCCTATGTGGAAAGCAATAAAATACAGGCCTGCAGCACCAAATTAGACGAGCTGTTTCTGAATGAGCTGGTATGTCTGTACATGACCCAGTACAATGTCTTGAACGAGTCCCAAAAGTAGTATCACCCAGTTCCTGAGTTAACTTGTTCTTAAGCTCCATGATGAGATTGTTCTTTATAACAGAGACATTTTACAGGTATGGCTCTGTAATGCTCCATTATAGGCATCTCCTCCCATGCTGATAAAATGAATGGTTGTCCCAAATCTCATTTTGGCATAACTGAAAACATTCCAATATTTTTCTAATTATTGGCTTCATGGCTTCATTGGTGTTAAACATTTGTAACTTTCTTCCTATGTGCCTTATTTATTTATTTATTTATTATGAGAATAAATAAATAGAAGACTTCTGTTTTATTTTGGATTTGTGAAGGAACTGGGAACTGATGGAAATAATAATCAATTGGTAGCCAAAGCTGCTTAGAGCTGGTTGAAAGTCCAGTGTAATCCATTTGAGCTTTTTCACTTTATTTAAAATAGAGTCTGAGGGGAAAAGCTTCCTTTGTTCTGTTGTCTAGGTAATGTGTGATTTAGAATTATATATTTCATTATTTTGTGCTGTGCTACCAAAGCGAATCTGTGTCCTAGATCTAGAGCAATGCAGTATTTCGTGTTTGTTTGCCGTCTTACGCTCATTTATTTTCTTTGAAATGAAAATTACAGAAATGCCAAATGAGCAACTTCTCATAGCTTATACCCAGTATTGACCTCAGTCTTATTAGAAGTTCTGTTGGAAGGCATTCGTATCTCAGAGATGATAATAATTTATCAAGCAACATTCTGTAGCAATTTAATTATGCTATTTACATAAAAAAGTAGAAGGATTTGAAGAAGGCCAGCAATGAAAAATATAAACTCCATCTATTTTTCTTTTGCTCATAGTTTAAATTTTATTTTTTACACAAACTAGGTTTATCTTCCTGATTATAAAGTAGTTACACAAAACTATTTTTAACTGTAGGTGTCTTTTCTTAAAATGATTACAGTTATAGAGGAAGTGTCTTTGTGGAAACAAGTTTTGTTTGTAAAGAAGCAAATTATCTTAGCAGATTAAGGAACTATGTTTCTCTTTTAGATATGAACATAAAATAGGGGTTTTTGTACATCTTGTGCAAAGAAACTGCCAATCTTACTCTACATAATTTTTCACTACATAATAACAATCTGTAAGGGTTTTCATTGGCCTGGGTTTAAGATTAAATGTAAAAATGCAGAATGTGCATCATACCCTCACTATATGTATGAATTAGTTCTCTACTTTCCATCTTTTCCCTTGTTCCCACATTCCGGGGAATCCCTCAGTGACAGATAAATCTGTCAGTGCTAAAGTGGTGTGGGCAGCTCTCGCTGTTTTGTTGTTCTGTGGCTGTGGTAGAGAAGGATCATGACACGGGTAGAACACTTCTTAGGAATTGCCCTGTAGCAGTAAGCAATATCCTGAACAAAGTCTCTGCCTCGTCCCAGAGTCAGAAGGTGATACACCATGTGGCATCTCTGTACCTCTTCTTGTGGCAGCGCTGACAAAGTCTGCAAGCAGATTCTTGACGTATATCCACAAAGCAAAGTGAAGGTGTGACTGTGATGCTTATGCTGGTTGCCGTACATACTGTGCTGTGTAGCATTGCTGATAATAGCTAGAAGTTAGTGGTATGGACTTTAGCACAGACTGACAATCAGAGTAGTTTTTTGCTCAGGAACTCTGGTATGAACTGCTGTTGTTCTCTTGCTTCTATTATTACATAGACTGGCTGGTATGACCGTGCCCCCCTATACTGCAGTCTCTCTCCATCTTGTTCTCTAGAGCTGCTTTTTGTGTGCATCTGCAGTATCTTCTTGTTCGAAAATTATTCACATGAACCAGCATTCGCATCGCTAATCCCTAGGCTGTGTGCCTGGTTTTCCTTTTTTCCTGCTTGTACTGATAGCTGCAGAGTGCAACATCTGGGCAGTTTAGCAGTGATTGGAAATGTTCTTTCTATAGAGGGTACATTTTAACACCCATCTTTTCCAAGGTCAAATGTAATCAGACTAGGACTTATCTTCTGAGTACATTTGAAGAGGTTATCTTAACCAACTTCTAGGAATGTTATATTTATGTATTTTTCCCATAAGACGTACAAATCTGTTAAGTGTTAGAGGGTTACATTTGTAGTAATCAAAGAAAATCACAGGCTTTGGTTGGATTAAACAGCGGGAGGTTTCAAATCAGCCAGGAAATCACAAAGTAAGCTGAAAAGGAGTTTGCCAAGCATTTTTGATTCATTCTGGGCATCACATAGCAACAGTTTCCATAACTGTCAGCATTTTCAAAGGAGCAATGTCATTATTTCAGCCACAATAACATTCTGAAATTCAAGAGTCTATTAACAATACAGAGAGAATAAACACCAGCCCTTTCCTCCCTATATGAAGAAGCCTCCATTTGCCACCTACACACATTTTTCAGATAGCATCTAATGGAAGCTTTCGGCATAAAATATTTCACTGTCAGATTATTAATTTCATATTTATATTAAAACTCTTAAGGCTACCTGTCATATTCAAAGATACATTAGATACACAGTATTTTGAGAAGTTTCAACTTCTATTACTGTTTATGTAAATGCTGCTCTGTTGCATACACAAAACCAACAGCAGATATTTGCCAAATAGGAGCTGAATTTTTCAAGAAATTGTGCATTGTAAAGAAGAAAATAACTGAATATCTACTATTTTTTTTTTCTCTCTTACTGTGTCACCCTCTTGGCTTGCATATTTGCATAGACTGAGTTTATTGCTTTGAATGAAAAAAGGAAGTCTCAACAAATCACTTAGGAAAAGTAATTTTTTAATATTTTAGACTCTGCAGGTGATGTGTTTGAGCCAGGATATGAAGAAATTGACAAAAGTGGTTCTCAATCTTAAGTAATGTCAAACTTTTCAGGAATAGATACAGTAGGTAAAAATACTATTTCTTGCAAATGTGAGTTTTCTAGTGAGTTGGTAATGCAGAGAGTCAACATCATGGTAATGATATGCCAAAATAAATCTTAATGCTTAGATCCAGCTTACCTAGAGCAATATAATTATGCACAGAAAAGCAATCTCGAATTGCCAACAACATGAAATGATGGACAATCAGTGATATTTTTCCTCATCACTTTAATGGTGTCACAGGATCATGAGAACTTGAAGGGGCTGTGAGATTCCAGGAGGACATTGAATGCAGCTCTTGGAATTTTGCAGGGACTTTAGTTAAAGTTTCTGATGCTCACAAAGGAGTTGGTGGCTGGAAAGTGTCTGCAAAATACAGTCCTATTTCCCCTCACCCCTGCTTTTCTTGGCAGGTCTTTAAAATCCGGCTATGTATCCACTTCTGCTTGCCATGAGCTCACATGCAGTGTGATACCACCAGGTAGGGTGCCTGTGCTCCTCTGGATACATCAGTGTGAAAGTATTCAAGTAGCCAGTCATGCTGAATTCAAAAGAGCTGTTAAAGAACATGGTAGAACCTTTTCAGCAAGTTCTGTAGTTACTGTTAAACAGCTTGCATAAGCCATAATATTTGGTGCTAATATGGGCAGAGTGAAAACAAAGCACTTATATGAGTGGGAACTTTATAGTACATGCTTCATACTTGTGGAGTTAGACTTCTGAGGCTAGTCTCTTGGCCTTGAAATGTATCCATGTTAATCTGAAGACACTTCAAAAACAATGTGTATTTAATCTTTTAATAGATTTTATTCCCCACAGAGTTGTTTTCAGTTTCCCATCTGTTGTATAGAACATAAAACTGTAAGACTTTTCCAATGTAAATCTAGTATTTTCTTGTGAACCTCAGCAAGTAAGTCCTATAGCGTTGATCAAATAGAAATTATTGGTATACATTACTTTGGATTTTTTCTACACTGCTAAAACATTCTGGTTTTCTCTCTGTTCCTTAGCACTCCCAGTTATAACTATGCTCCAAACCCAGACAAGCACTGGATAATGAGATATACAGGTCCCATGAAACCTATACACATGGAGTTCACTAACATGCTACAGAGAAAGCGCCTTCAAACGCTCATGTCTGTGGACGACTCTATGGAGATGGTAAGATTAGTAGTCACTTGATTTTGGCTGAACAGGTGCTTATTTCTTGAGATAAGCTCCAAGCTCTGCAGTTTATGAAGATAAGGGGGAAGGAAGGAGGAAGAGGGCTGCATCGGTTTTTTAATAGTGTGTAATCCTTTCACCTCTGAGGATTTTGCCCTTTTGTAAGGATCCTCATCTCCTAAAGACAGGTACCATGAGTTGGGTGGTGTAAGTGAGCTGATTTGTTGCCACAGAGCCACTACTGGTTAAGGGGAAGAGGGAGGGATCACCTGAAAAAAATGTACATCATAAATTGTGAAAATGTATCTCCTGATAGTGAAAAGTCATCCTACAACCTGTTGGAAATAACTACCTAACTGTGAACCTGTTTTGATCCTGTAACACTGAGTTTCTGAGAGAAGAACAACAAAAAGTGATGCTACCAGAGTCCTAACTGGAAAAATCCCATAGTAAACCAGGCCCAGGGTGTCAAATGTTAGAAGTAAAAA